TAAAATATTTGAGGAACTTATTCTCTAAAAATGTCAAGTCCTTACCACTCTTATGTAAATGTAGTCTTTTAGTGCATTGCAATTTCAACAAATTTGGATGGATAGATTTTTATATTCAGACAAAAAACTCCCAAAAGCTAGCTTCTTAAAAGCTCAAGTTCATAGTGAAATGTATAAAAATACTGAAAAAATTTAAATAAGATTGCCTATAAATTTAATCATGGGTAAATCTAGCTTCATTATCAGATATCATTGAATCAGTCTGACTTTTTTCAAAAATTTAAATATAGATGTGGACTTGTAAAGAAGTTATATGCTAAAACTCAGTAAAGTAATAAGTAAGCAAAAAAGAAGATATATTATTTGAAGTGTCATGAAGTCATAAGAGTTATCATTCTTACTTATAACTTTCAGAAGAATAATAATAGCAAGTTAAGTTAATAACTTCTTCCAAGAATGACACAAGATGAAAACTAAATATCTGAGAAAGTTTTCTTATCAATACTTTGTGTTCATCAACTTTTTTAAACTGTAGTAAATTAAATATATCTTCCTTACACTATGAGTCATGCAGTGCCCCTTGGAAAAAAAAAACAAAACATTAAGTACAAAAATGCTAAAATTATTTTAAAAGAAAAACAAAAGTTAATAAATAAAGTTCTTGTAACTTAAGAAGTAGTTGTGTTGATGCATTAAAATTGGAACTCCATCACCTTTTTGAAATCTGTTTTTTCTCATTTCTCCTTTATAAATTTTTAATTGTATTTGTTCACAAAATTTAAAACAAACCTAAACACTTCCTATCTTCACTTCTCTATTATTCTATTTCTAATCTTTTAATACTAATCTATCTCTCCAAACTTCTCTGAGGTATTGGATACAAGACTCTTCATAGAATGTTGTTCATCAAGGACTTTATATATATATATAAATATACACTTTCTCTCTATTCACTTGATAACACCTGGCAACTGGTAGTATCACTTGCCATTTGGATTGGTTATTGACATTCTGGATATCTCTGGTCTTGTATGTGCCAAACCCATGTTTTCAGTCTTTTAACTTTTTTTTTTTTTTTTTCTTTTTCTTTTTCTGTTTATCTAGCTGTGTATTATTCAGTTCTTTGAACATGCAAAGTTCCTTCTGGTCAGGTATGGCTTCTTTTATTCTGGAATGATCTACTTATCCTCCCTTTCATTGCCTTTCTTCTAATATGAAGCATTCAGACATTCAAAATAATGAATTTTCAGAAGATAATGTAGATGATATATAGGTAATACATAAACAAGACAGAAAAAAACCCATACAGTGGCAAAATAGGAAGATGTGTTCACAGTTTTACACTATGTATTCTTTGATAAAGTGCCAAATGTAAACCTTTAGCTCTTATTCAAAAATTACTAAAAAAGCATTGGCTCCACTTTTGCAGAATGTGCAATAAACATGAAGATAAGTAAAATTATAATTATTTACCTAGAGATATTCAAATAAATTGTGTACATTGTTTCAGGTCCCAACAAGGATTGTGATGCTGAAGTGAGCAAAGTGATCAATGAAAGCAATGTCATAGAAGAAAAATTATCACATCTGAAATGATATTAATTCAAAGACTACAAAATATTCTAAGCCAATAGTCCAGATAACCTTCACTGCAGAATTCTGAAGAAAGTAATGCATATATCTGAAGAGACTAGAACAAGAATTTTTAGTAAGGATATCAGTTTAAAAAGGGAAAGAGAAGAGAAGAAATAAACAATGTTTCAATAAGATTTTTTGATGGGCTTAGAATGTGAAGTTTCAGAATAATTTTTGAAGCGAAGAATGATTAATTGAACCAAATCACAGAATCGTTTAGGTTGGAAAAAACCTCTGAGATAATCAAGTTCAACCTTTGACTGATCACCACGTTGTCAACTAGACCATGGTTCTAAAGGTCACATGCAGCCATTTCTTGAACACTTCCATGAAGTGTGACACCACCAGGTTCCTGGGCAGCGCATTCCAGAATTTAACATTTTTGATGTCCAGTCTGAACCTCTACTGGCACAGCTTGACTCTATGTCCTCTTGTCCTGTTGCTGGCTGCCTGGGAGAAGAGGCTGAACCCCACCCAGCTGAAACCTTCCTCCAGGCAGTTGTAGGGAGCAGTAAGGTCTTCCTGAGCCTCCGTTTCTGCAGGCTGAACAACCCCAGTCCTGCGCTCTCTTTCAGCCACTCCTCATAGGACTTACCCTCTAGACCTTGCCCCAGCTCCATTTCTCCAGAAATGCTCCAGCCCCTCAATGTCTTTCGTGTACTGAAGGTCCCAGAAATGGACACAGTACCCAAGGTGTGGCATCATCAGTGACAAGAGCAGAGGGACAGTCACTTCCCTGGTCTGCCAGCCACACTATTCTCAATAAAAGAAGTACAGAGGTACAGAGAACAGAAGTAAAAAGCAAACTTAATATCCAAACATATCCCAGAGAAGATACTACCATATCAATATCTGTATCTATCAGATATATCAATATCTTTAATAATTTATCTTCTATTCAAGGCAAGAAACCTCACATATCTGGACTTCAAAATAGTTTTTGACAAAATCTGATATGAATATAATTATTTAAGACAGAGAAGAAGATAAAGAATTGACTAATCAGAGGACAACAGATTATGTGTAGGTGTTTCCATTATTAGATGGAAACTTCTAAGGGGTTCTTTATGGGTTGTCTTGCCATAGAGCTTCCTGATATTTAAGTTAAAAACTAGGTCATAAAAGCTCAGAGCATGCTGCTGAAATTTGCTGGTAAAACAAGTCTGAGAACAATCAAAACGATAAAAACAAACAAGAAGAATCAGATGACTTGATGACTTCTGTAACAGAAATGAGATTACATTTAATAGTGCAAAGAGCAATGTCACTAGATTTTCAGCTATAAACTGTGAGTTTATCAGCTGAAAATGACAGAGAAAAGAAAGATGCAGCCAATCTACTAAAGGAGGATTACTAGTCATCAAAACACAATGTAGCTAATACAGACAATTAAACATAATAAATAAAAATATCAAATAAAGAGATGTTTAGTATTACCACATGAAACTACATCTTCCTGATTAAAATAATAAGCCATTTGTGTCCTTCATATTAAAAAAGGATTCTCTGAAAACATCATTAGAAATGGAGTGGAGGGAGGTGAAGGGGAAGTTCATCAGCACAATGTCAGGAATGCAGAACTTAGCTCACGAAAGGAAATTGAAAAATCCTGTATTATTTTGCAGGAAAAAACCCAACCCTAAGATGAGAGAAATTCACTCTGTAAACATATGAATGGGTAAAAAGAGCCTGCAGATGTTTATAATACTTTAAGATTAGTAGCAACATTAGAATTTCACATATATACACAAACACATATTTTAAAGATATGCTTTTCATGCAACATGACTTCTTGTACTAATGGAGGATAGGACTCGGTACCCAAGAATGACAATTTATTCTGAGTCATAAAGATAATCTCTGGGGTCAGTGTTTTAATGGCATTTATTGTGATTCAACTGCACATAATTTTCTTCTTCACTCATCTGCTTAAGATCTACGTGAATGCTTTAAACATCATTCACTCACTAGGTGCCTAATACACAACTTATTTAGTCAAAGTGCTTCCATTGACTTCTGTGTGCTTTGGATTAGGTTCTATATCCTTACACAGAGCCAGCTGCTGAAGGCTACAGTTTTATCACAATATTCGTCTGCTTTTCTCTTTTCCCCATGATCTTAAGAGGGAAAGAAAGAGGTAAACTTTGGCTTGCCCTGTCTGTTCTTTAATGTGCTTAGATTGCAGTTATTTCCTGCTGAGCACTGGATGAGGTTTAGTTTGTTGAAGAGCAACTTTTAATCATCTCACAGAATGAATGAACTAGAAGACATATCAGGTTTCTATCAGAAGATGAAAAACGTAGAAACTTATCAGAACCTCTGTTCCTCTAGATATATTGTAGGTCAAAAAAACCCACTCTGTACAGTACTTATTATTCTTATAAAGGACACTAAAAATGTAATTATGCAAAGAATGATCACCAAGAAACTTTGCAAAACAGCTAAAGCAGATATAAAAGTATGACTACCTCTGCACAGCAAAACCTGCAAGTGAGATAACAGAAGATCAGATGATTTTGATGTCAGGCTGTGTAATCTTCCTCACAGGAAGGGTGGTTACAACCCCTTCATTCTTATTTTGGACAGTTCAGAGAGCAGAGCAAAACAGTTAGAAACACAGCTGATCAGGTGTGTACCAGTGCTTAAAAGCCTAAATATATTTGGCTACTTCTATTGGTTCTAAAATGATCCTTTTTTAGGGTGATAGAACCAGGGCCTTCCTCAGCTTCTAATTGCTGTTTTGGCTAAATACCAAAGCTGTTCACCAGACCTGTGCAATATAGGCATGGATATATAAATTTATGTTTTAATATCTTTAGGGAAAGGTGCAAAGAATTCCACTTCTTCATACTTCCTCTTGCTCGCCATTAACAGTTGATGGTAGCAGGTTAACAGCCCTTACTTTTTTTCAGTGAATTGTCATGTCTCTGACAGGGTCAAAAAATGAATTAAGGGGAAACTTTGTCTGCTTCTCCACTGTAGAGCTGAATAAAGCTTGTAGCAACATGACCTCTAAGGATTCTAATGATGCACTTTTCATATGAAAAGAAATGACAAGCCTAACATTATAAAATACCCAGTAAAGTTGTTTTAAACATTGCAGAACAAAGCCAAATAACCTGTCCAATAAGCAATCAACAGCTTGATCCCATTCTAAATTATTTTCCTTTCCACCATATTTATTCCCTTAATATAGAACAACTGTGTTCTATACAACTATTGCTCTTCTTTTTTTCTATTGGAGAGCAGTAATTGTTTTGAAAAAGCAGACAGAAACATTAAAGCTCCCGACTAAGTGAGTATATGTGTAGATTTATAAATTTCATTTTAGATGTGGTCAATAAGATATATTGACATTAACTTACAGAAAGGAATAGAGCTGCACAGCATTCAGTTATCAATAACAATGCTTGAATTACAATATCAAAGGTTCTTCTTCAGAACTTCTCAGAGTTACCATCTTGCTTGAGTATTTTATCTTCTGCTCAACAGGGAGCATCACGAAGTCATGATTGTACTGACATGACAGATCTTCTATGATCTCCTGCATTATATTAAAAAGAATTAAAGCTGCACAGGATGCACTAAGAACATTAGACAAAAGATTTTATACTTTTGTGATTTTCATTCAAAAATGAAAGAGAACTTTAATTCACAGAAAAAAATATTGGTAGCATCCTAAACAAAATAGTAAAAAAAAAATATAGAACTGAAAAATCATATTTGGTCAAGAAGTCCTTAAGAGTACATTGAGCAAAATGATTTTACAAAGTCTGTGTACTCAGTTTATATAAAGATATCTGACAGAAGAAAGTGATAGCACAAGTTTAAAAACATCTGTATTTCAATATATCTATAACAGTTCAGTATACTTTACTGTTACTCATCAAATTTCATGACACAAGATTTTCTTTGTATGTGTAGTTGTCTGGAATACAAACCTGTTTTAAAGGCTTCAGAAAGTTCTTTGACTTTCCAGCAATCCACCAAATAGAGCAGAAATTATTGCCACATATTTAAAGACAAATCTTGATGTGAACCCAGAATATATTAAAATAACATAAAGAAATGCAAAACTATGGTCTAATGAACCTAATCTGAAAAGATTAATTTTTCTTAGTGGTTTACCTGGGTGACTGAACAGGTCATTGCACTTCTTTTTATCTCATAGGGATAATTTACAAAGCACTTTGAGACCTTCAGTGTGCTCACTACTGATAGCCACCTTGGAAACATTATATATTGAAAAAAATCCCTAAATTATTTCCCAGAGTAACTGTGCTACTCTCTGCTAATTAATCTATATACAAATCAACTGTTCACATTTAATATTTTTAGTGATAATGAACATATTTTTCTTTCTTTGGCACTGCTACCTGGGTCTCATACATTTCATTTAAATAAAGTCCAGTTTAATTATCTCTCCTAAATGTCTCATTGTATCTCTTTATGTAGAATATGTACTAATGACTCATAATTTCCCTCTATTTTTATAGGAATTTGTCAAAGCTCACCTTAATTTTTTCTATAGTTTACTTTGCATTTAGAGAATATGAACAACAGTTTCATTTAAAAATAAATCTATAAAATAGTGGGGCTGGGTGCAGCACTCATTTATATCTCTGCAAATCCAGGAAAGTTAGCAGCTGCATATGAAACAAATTTAACAAAAATATGCCTCCCCTCATAAAAATTAACATGAGTTTTTAAAAACCTTTCACTAATTTTTCTTTCTGTCTGTCATTTCTGTATGACTATGAGTGGTTAGATTTTTTGTCAACATCTGGGAAAAAAACCCAGTCTGTAAATGGCCTTCCATGAAAAATTCTAGAGAAAGGAAGAAAGGAAGAAGGGAAGAAGGGAAGAAAGGAAGAAAGGAAGAAAGGAAGAAAGGAAGAAAGGAAGAAAGGAAGAAAGATCTCAATGTTGATAATTGTGATTTGTACAGAATATACACACACTGCAAAAATCTTAGTAAACAGAATCACTATCTTTTTGGATAAATATTAATTTTCATCATTCTTCATAAATGTGAGAACTCAGAAATGCTGATGTAATCATGCCTATGCAAGAACCTTTCACTTTGAACAGACTTCGAGTTTAAGAATGAACGATTATAATCATGCGAGATTAAACCACTGTTATCCAACACAGATTAATTCTGCTCTGTCAGTAACTTTTACGGTGCATAATCTAGCTCAAAATTCTCAAAGAGAGTAAAAGAGAGAGGATTTAAACAAAGTAACTGGTTTCATGCTTAGCTAGCATTCAGTTAAATAAGCACAGATGTGGGTTTTATCTGCTTAAAAGTAAATCTGTGGTTTTCTTATTTAAACCCTTACGTTTTAACATCCATCAGAAAGGCTGTTGCTGCAATGAATAATTTAATCACTGCTGCCTATTACATGCTATTACACAGCAAGCATATTTGCAAAGCTGTGAAAGACACTGGCCAAGTGTCAGCACTGCCTGTAACTCAGCGGCTTCCCAGTATATTCACTGCGAGCAACTCAGGGAGCTCCGAGGCGGCCAGAGGCCACTTGTGGTAGGGAAGGGAGTGAGGAGGTCACAACAGAATTGCACCAGATCAGCAAGACACTTTGGAGAGATGAAAGGTCACCGCGGGCTCCGCGCCGCTGCGGTGTCATTTCAGCTGCTTGTCCCTTGGTGGAGTTCTTGAGTTAGTTTCGCCTTTCCGTCAAATGGCTTTAACTGCTTCATGCGGGGGTTCTGTCCTTGTTTTTACCCTGCTTTTGAATTTTCTGTCATGTTTACTGTATTTAATCTTTTCCACGTATTATTATGAATACGTGATTTTCAAGGCAATATGATTTTTTTTTCCTTTCTGAAGCTTCCTTTTCGCTAGTGAGTGAAAATACTAATATGCAGTATGTGTCTGTTAATGTATAGAGTGGTGTCGATATGTAAATAATCTGTCTCTCTTTAACCAGAGACTGATTCCCACTGCAGATCCCAGAAGTAATTTTCCAGTGAGACCCACTGACATTCCTAAACTGCGAAAACCAAATTGTCGTGGGCTGAAAGCGCCAACTGCGGACGCGAGTCCGGCTCCCGGCGGCCGAAGCTGGGCTCGGCCGACACATGAAGAAAAACCAGCCATTAATTATATCTGCATATTTAAACGATGACCCCTGTCTTTCCAATCAGCAACTACAACGACAACAAAGCCCCAGTGCAGAGCGTCGGGAGCTTGGGGGATGCACAGAGCCGGGGAAACTCCCAGGCTGCTTTAGGATTTCCCCACGTACAGCAGGCTGCGATTGTCAGCAAGACGGATTCCTTCCCACACGCAAGATGCCACTTCGGCGGCCTTATCAGATGTTCCCTTTAAGGACACAAGCTCCTATTTCCCCTCTGTATATCACCAGCATCTCGGGCTATTTTATTTATTACAGACGATTACATTTGTGATCCCTCTTCCCACTTGATCTCCCAGATCAGGAGGACAAATGCCGCGTCGTGTCTGAGCGCGTGTGGGCGTCTGTGTGCATCGGAAGGGGGGAGAGCCGGGAGGGGGGAGCTACACTGCGCAACAGATTTGCCCGGCAGGGACAAACCTCCCCCGCCTGGAACAGCCGGGCTTGTTCCTACCGACACCCGGGGAGCTGTGGGTGCGCGGGACCGGCAGTCTGCGGTGCCGGGGAGGCGGAGAGAGAGTGCGGGGCTAATTCCACTGTCTCCCGTCTCGTACGAGTGGGATGCGGGGGGGCGCGGGGGACGCACGGCCAGCTCGGCCCCGTCCTCCCCCCGGCAGCCGGGGCACGTGGACCGGGAACAGCGCGGCCATCCACCATGCAGCGCACGTCGGGCCCATTTCCCACGCCGGCCGCCTGCCCTGGGGGAGGAGGGGAGGAGGGGAGGGAGGAAGGGAGGATGATAGCAAAGGGGGGGCCGTTACCTCTGCTCCGAAAGAGGAACCAATCCACTGTGAAGGACGCAGCACTCCCGAGCAGGAAAGACATTGCACATTCAGAGAGAGATTGCATGTGAAGACACTGCAAAAAAGAAAGAAAGGAGGGGGGGCTGGGGGGCGCAGACCGCGTGTGAAAGGCATAGTGTGTGTAAGAGAGGCCAGCGAGGGTAGGAAAGGAAGGGGGAGCAATTGCACATGGCAAGAGAAAGAAATCACTCATTCGCTTGAAAGAGGCACTCGCAAGGAGTCCGTAGTAGAAACAACGGGGAAGGAGACGCAGGAGAGAAGGCGAGCGTCCATGCCGTGCAACAGCCTGGAATCCGATTAAAGTTTATGGCGGGGAGGTTAAAAAAGCTCTCATCCCGCCCCTTCCCTGGCGAATACATTAAGTTTCCTGGCTGCGTTTAAAAACACAAAGGGACGGGAACAGCGGGACCTGCGGTTCGCAGTTGTATTTCCAGTGCAGGAAGCCAGTGTAATGCAGTATGCTGGTATTCCTACGTACTGGCATGTCTGGATCTTACACTGTGATCAAAATTTCCTCCTCACGGAGCTCCAGAACAACGAGGGGGAATTTTGACAAATTCAAGTTGCTTGGCAAATATAATAGGAATTTGGTACTAATCCTACTTAACCCGCTGCGAAGACGCTGCGCTCCCGAACCCCCCTCCTCCGTCCGGGACTGCGGCGGTGAGCACTGAGCCTGCGCCGAGCTGGGCTTTCTCGCTGATGCTGCAGATAGAAAGCCGAGTGTCTCCAGCACCGGCGGGGGAGGGTTTTCGTGTTCTGGCGAGGCAGAGCGGCCGGGGCCGGTGCCAGGGCCGGAGGAGGCGCCGGAGGATCAGCCCTGCAGCCCTCCGGAGAAGGGAGCATTCCCTCCCTCCCTAGCGCCGACTCCATGCGGCGCGGCTCTGCCCCTCTGTGTCTCTGGACTCCTCAAGGAAAGAGGTGGCAACCTTCCCTCCCTCCTACAATCACTCACCGCCCCTAATGACAAAGACACGCTGTGACCGTTGCTTTGAACCACCTCAACATATCCGACCGCTTTTCGCTTAAATATATCATCGCGATGAAAGAGACATTTCGCTACACTGGTCTGCACGCGTTTTTATTCAAAAGAGCCATATATATCGAGGAATGCACACACAAACACATACAGAACGCGCGCATACAGAACTTGCTTTCCCACATGTGTTCGCAGAGGGAGAAAGAGCAGCTGGATTCCTGCCTTCCCCTGGCTGCGCGCACGCACACAGGCGCACACACATGTACCCGCACACACCCGCGCACACACACCCGCACACAAGCGCGCATACACACCCGCACACGCTCATTCTTTCCCCACTGGCTGCCCCCCACTCGCCTGCCCCCGGAGCCTCCCTCTTTTCCCTCCGGGCTCCGAGCAGAAAGGACAGGTAAGGAGCCAGGCATCACCAAGGGTAGGGCGGTAGCACACAAAAGCCATACGCGATTAAATGGCTCAAAGTCAAAAGGAGACGCGAACTAGAGATGTCAGAATAAGCAAAGTTGAGCCGAAGAGCTTTAGCATTAAAGTTTATTTCCCACTTACCCAGGTAGGTGACGCTACATTTTAGCAATCATCGAAGCAGCAAGTCTCTGTTCGGAAATAAGTCTGTTACTTCTTACATGTGTTTATTCTACTAACCCTCTCGCTCCCTTCCTGATCATTTCCGAGGCTGGTTTTGTTTGTTGTTGTTTTTTTTTTTTTTAATTTATTTTTTATTTTTCTCCTAGGATACCCACAAACATGCTGAAAACACATTCAAAACATGGTAATAGGAAGAACACAATCACAAAGACTGAGAGGCTGAAACAGCATTGGGAAACAGGACGAAAGTCTGAGATGTAAGGCAGTCCCCCTTCCTCCCTGGAGTTTTATGCAGTTACAGTGACTGCAGCTATTTCACAAAAGCACCGACACAACAGGGGAAGGTGGGAATCTGCAAAACGAGTTTCCTTACCAGCTTGATTCCGCAAAATGCACAATAGAAGAAAAGAAAGACGAACAAACATTTGCTTTAAAAATCGTTGCTCGATTCACAGTCTATAGCGGACGTGGGGAGGGAGAGGAGAAAATCACTATAGATCACGGGTTTGAGAAAGCAACAGAAGCAACACTCGGGCGTGAAATGAGGATCGGTTTTGAGGACTGGACTGGTGTTTTGTGATGAGCAGCTATCCCACTTGCAGTACTAGCAGCAGAGACAGAGGGTAAGACTGAGCTTTCTGGAGTGCAGCGCTTGACTCGTCGTCCCTCCTCCTCCTCCCTCCCTCCCTCCCGCCCTCCCTCTCTCTCTCTCTCTCTCTCTCTCTCTCTCTGCTCTCCCTCTTTCTCTCTCTCCCTCTCTTTCTGTGTGTATGTAGCGCAGGCGGCTCTGCTGCTGCAGCGTCAGGGAAGAGCTACCGAGAGAGGCTTCAGCAGCTCCCTCCACTTTGGGCAAACTTGCCGGTTTACCGCTTCTTCTTTTTTTTTTTTTTTTTTTTTTTTTTTTTTTTTTTTTTTTTTTTTTTTTTTTTTTTTTTTTTTCTTTTTTTTTTTTTTTTTTTTTTTTTTTTTCTTCTTCTTCTTTTTTTCTTTTTTTTTTCCTTACGAGTGAGAAGCTTCTCAATTGCCATTCAACATTTTAAAGCACAAGCCGCTCTGCCGTGAAAGCGCCTGATCCACACTTCTCTGAAAGACACAGGAGGGAATACACAATTGCAGATTTCACCCACTGTGGCAGTGCAGATCAAAGGAAACAACTGACTGATACAATTTTATTTGCAAATAGAACTCTGTATTTTTTTTAATCGCGTCGCGGCTTTTTTCCCCTCCCCTTTGCCATTCCGCTTTATATGGATGTAATTCAGAATCTGTGTTAATTCACATGGGGGATCCAGTTACATCTTGTTCCGCTCCGGGTATAATTACGAGAGACCAATAATCGCCTTTGGACACATAGTTTTGTTGCTAACCTTTGAACTGAAAGGATCAAGTTCAGATCTGGTTACCTGCATTGGGACGGGAAGGAAGAGGAGAGAGAGAGAGAGAGAGAGAGAGGGAGACTGCAATCTCATTTGTGAATCGCTCTCAGTGCTGCAGATCCAGATTGCTTTAACACATGCAGTGCAAATGCAGGTAAGGCACACACACAAACTGCGGATGCAAAAACAAACTTGGGACTGTTGTGTGTCTATGTTCTTATCTCCAGCCTTGCAAATTCCGGGCAAACGGCTTCTGCAGTTTCTGTATCGTTGCTTTGTGACTAATGACCTTGCGCAGAGTTGTTAAAAAAAATCCGCTCCGGAGAAAGAGCTGAACATTTTAGGCGATCTCTGAAGATGGATTTGGGTGCTTTTTTGCCAACCAAAGGGGATATTCTTTGGACTGCACTGTAATAGCCGGGGTTCTCTCCTATCAGCTGTGCAGCTGCCGACATTATTGGGATTTTTTTTTTTTTTTTTACTTTCTGGGGTTTTTTTTTTTTTTNTTTTTTTTTTTTTTTTATAAGAGCTGCCCATTGCTAAGAGGATTTGGAGTTTTCCCGGACCCAAGCCCTTTGAATAAAGCGAATCACAATATTTTCCCCTGTGTGTGCAGAGAGGGGGAAAAATAAAGCTAATGCCTTGGTCGTAAACGGCTGAGAGGGGGAGAGAGAGAGAGAGAAAACAGAGAGAGTGTGTGAATTATAGTTAACTCTAGTGTTGAAGACAACGACCTGGGGGGCTTCGAATCGTACAGTACTGCTTCTGCTTTTATTGCAAACCTTGCAAAGTGAATACAGTAAAATCAGAGAGGAGGAGGAGGAGAAGGGGGAGGAGGAGGAAAATCCCATCCTATCTACTGAGATGAATCTTTAAAAAGCAAAATCCGCTGTCCCGTGAACTGTAAGTATATCGCAACTGGAAGGCAGGGATAGCAGCAGAGGAGCCAGCAGCAGGGTTTTGACCACCAATTGCACCAGTCATGAGACAATAAGTTTCCAGAAATAGAAGGATTTTATAATTGATCACCTGGACTGTCAGCCGCACTGTTGGCTTGTCAGGGGAGTTTATTGGGGGGCAGGTGGGAGTGAGAGGAGGGAGGGGGGTTTCGGTACGAGGAAGATGAGGAAGATGCGGACCCTCCTTCGCTTTGTGCATTGCTGCTGCTGCTGCTTCTTGTTCCTCCTGCCTCCTCCGCTCTGGGTCAGCCTCGCAGCGGCTAAGCAGCTCCTGAAGTACCGGCTGGCCGAGGAGGGACCCGCCGACATCCGCATCGGCAACGTGGCTTCCGACCTGGGGATCGTGACGGGCTCCGGAGAGGTGACATTCAGCCTGGAGTCGGGCTCCGACTACCTCAAGATCGATAACATGACCGGGGAGCTGAGCACCACAGAGCGGCGCATCGACCGCGAAAAGCTGCCGCAGTGCCAGATGATCTTCGACGAGAACGAGTGCTTCTTGGACTTTGAGGTGTCGGTCATCGGCCCCTCGCAGAGCTGGGTGGACCTCTTCGAGGGCCGGGTCATCATCCTGGACATCAACGACAACACCCCCACCTTTCCTTCCCCCGTCCTCACGCTCACCGTGGAGGAGAACCGGCCCGTAGGGACGCTCTACCTGCTCCCCACCGCCACCGACAGGGACTTCGGCCGCAACGGCATCGAGCGCTACGAGCTGCTGCAGGAGCCCGGCGGGGACGGCGGCCGGCGCGGCGGCGGGGGGGGCGCGGCCGCGGCGGCCCCCGAGAGCGCCCCCTTCCCCGGCGGCAGCAAGCGGCGGCAGGAGGCGGAGGCGGCCGCCCGCAGCAGCGTCTTCGAGCTGCAGGTGGCCGACACCCTGGACGGGGAGAAGCAGCCGCAGCTGATCGTCAAGGGGGCGCTGGACCGGGAGCAGCGGGACTCCTACGAGCTCAGCCTCCGCGTGCGGGACGGCGGCGACCCGGCACGGTCCTCGCAGGCCATCCTGAGGGTGCTGATCACCGACGTGAACGACAACAGCCCCCGCTTCGAGAAGAGCGTCTATGAGGCGGACCTGGCGGAGAACAGCAGCCCTGGGACCCCGATCCTGCAGCTGCGAGCCACCGACCTGGACGTGGGAGTGAATGGGCAGATCGAGTACGTCTTCGGGGCGGCCACTGAGTCCGTCAGGCGCCTACTGCGGCTGGACGAGACCTCGGGCTGGCTCAGCGTCTTGCACCGCATCGACCGGGAGGAGGTGAACCAGCTTCGCTTCACCGTCATGGCCCGAGACCGGGGCCAGCCCCCCAAGACAGACAAGGCCACTGTCGTGCTGAACATCCGGGATGAAAATGACAACGTGCCCACCATCGACATCCGGAAAATCGGGCGCATCCCGCTCCGGGACGGGGTGGCAAGCGTGGCCGAGGATGTCCTGGTGGACACCCCCATTGCCTTGGTGCAGGTATCTGACCGGGACCAAGGTGAAAATGGCGTGGTGACCTGTACTGTGGTGGGCGATGTGCCCTTCCAGCTCAAACCGGCCAGTGAGGGTGAGGGGGAGCCACAGAATAAGCGCAAGTATTTCCTCCACACCTCGGCCCCTCTGGATTATGAAGCTGTCCGTGACTACAATGTGGTGATTGTGGCTGTGGACTCAGGCAGCCCCAGCTTGTCCAGCAACAACTCCTTGCTGGTGCGGGTCGGGGACACTAATGACAACCCTCCCATGTTCAGCCAGGCTGTGCTGGAGGTTTCCTTTCCAGAGAACAACTTGCCTGGTGAGAGG